TGCATGCACATGTGCACTTTCTCCCTCTCTCTCCCTCTAAAAAAATAAAACAAAACAAAATAAAATAAATAAAATAAAATAATTTTGTAGACAAAATAATAAAAACATTGAATATGAATTAAACAAAATATAATTTAGCTATAGTAGTAAAAAAAGGGGAGGAAAGAGGTGTATAACAAAATAAAGTAAAATCATTCTTTTTTTAATATTTTAATTTTTTAGTTAATTAATTAATTGTTTATTTGAGACAGAGAGAGAGAGACAGACAGACAGAGAGAGAGAGCACACGCACACAAGCATGAGTGAGAGGGAGGGGCAGAGGCAGAGGGAGAAACAGACTCCTCACTGAGTGGGCAGCCCAACTTGGGGCTTGATCCCAGGACCCTGGGATCATGACCTGAGCTGAAGGCAGATGCTTAACCGACTGAGCCACCCAGGCACCCCAAGTAAAATCATTTTAACATAATAAGTTAATAGATGATGTCTGAAGTTGATGATTTTAGAATATACATATATATATATATATATATAGCGAGAGAGGCTTTTTTTTTAAATTTGGAGATAAATACTAGAAATAATAACTAAAAATTTCAAAAGGGATTACCTCTGGGAGGAGGTGGGTGGCGCTATCAGTTACTAAGGGGTATGGAATGGGTGTGTGGGGGCCAGATAGGGGACTGCTATTTTTAATTACAAGACTTCTAACATGATTTATTCTTAAAAACTCTATTTTTTATTTTATTTTTATAAAAATCTTATAAAATCATAATTTTTAAGATTCAAGTTTAAGTTTTGTTTTGCTCTACGCTGTTTCTTGTGTACTCTATTTACTTGAATTTAATTTTTGTTTTGCTAAAGAACAACCTCCAGTAATTCTTTCAAATATCCTATGGATGGAAAAAGCCATTTATTTAACCTTTTATCCGCCAAGATTTATTGAGGTAAAATTACATACAGTAAAATTCACTCTTTTCAGGCGTACATTTCTATGACTTTTGAGAAACTTACACAGTCATACAAGCACCACCATAATCAAGAGAGAGTATTTGCATTACCACAAAGAGTTCTCTTGTTCCTTTTTGCAGTTAGTTTCCTCCCCACAAGCTCCTGGCAACCACTGATCTGGTTTTTCCGTCCCTATCATTTTGCCTTTTACAGATGTCATATAAATAAATGGAATCAAACAATATATGGCCTTTTAAGTCTGAATTCTTCTACCTAGCATAACGCTTTTGAGAGTCATCCATGGTATCAAAATCATGGAAACCAAAGGTATAATTGATCATTACTCATCAGTGCGATTAACTAAATAGTTCCAGTCATACGCTCAGATTATACTTCCTGGCTCCTTCGTGTTTGGGTGAGGCCATGTGATTAGTTCTAGGCAATGAGTGGTGAGTACATATCACTTCTGGGCTGGACCATTGAACTGTTAAGGTGAGACCCATTGATCTTTCTCTTCCTTTCTGCCACAGTGATGCGCAACATTCCAGACGGTGGTTGCTCTGCCAGCCTGAGTCTTAAGAGTGACTACAACCAGCAGAGCCCACTGCTGACCTGTGATGGACACGTAGCCAATAGATGGGCAGCAAGAGCCAGAAAACACACCTTTGTGGTTTTAAGCCATTGAGATTTGGGTGTGGTTTGTTATCACAGCACGATCAGCCTATATTGATCCATAGAGAAGGCTTGTGTATTTAAGCACAGGAAATTTTTCCTTTATTGCTGCTTTAATTATTTCCTCTCTCTATTTTTCCCTCTCTCTTTCACTTTCTTCTTTCTCTCTGGAACTATTAGGCAGGTGCTGGAACTTTTGAATGTACCTTCCATGTCATACACCTTCTCTTTGTCCTTTCAGAATTTCTAGGAGAAATTCTGTTTTAATCTTTTAGCTTACTACTGTGTTGTCCAGCCATATTCATTTTGCAATCAACTCAGCATTTCAAAATCATATATTTGTATATATTTTCCAAGACCTCTATTTGCTTCTTTTAATAAAGAAGCTAAAATGAGTTTTTGCTTGATGGGCGCAGAAGCTTCCACATTTTTTCTAGAGCTATTAATTATTTTTAAAGCCTTCTGTTTGTTCTAACTTCCCCCTTACTTGTTGGTTCTCAGGTAGCTTTCTTCCAGAGTGCTGGCTTTCCTTAAATGCTTGCCGACTGATTTTTACTGGTCTGTAATACTCTGCGTTCAGGAATTCCTATTTGCCTGATTGTTGATTTAATTATAATGGAGGGCTTCTGATTTTTTGAGAAGAGATGGCTGTCCTTATGAGGTTCTGTGTTCTTGTGGTTTGCTGGGTATAGGAGCTCTCTGTCCTTCGTGGGAGTTGTTAGCTCCCCTGGAGCACTGCCCTGCATGTCCCTCTGTGCATGTGGCTGTTAATACTGCTCCTCACCCTGCAGGAAGGAAGGTGGGGCCCCTCAGGCTAGATTCTCTGCAATCATTTCCACATAACCTGGTAAACTGCCGCCAAGACCTTCTCCCTCTAGCCATTGATTGCTTTTTGCACCCTCCAGATCTCACTCTTGGTAATTTTCTGCTTCCTGCCTTTTAAACTGTGTTTTCCTCCAGTCTTGTTTTCTTTTTTTTTTCCTCCAATATAATCTTTAAGAATCCGTGGTGTGAATTAAACAAAGCATGTCTGTGCACTGCATATGGCCCATGGGTTGCCAGTTTGCAACATCAGCCTTAAGAGAGGTTCTGTCCTCCTAGGGAACTGATGTTTGCTTTTTTAAATTAAAAAAAAAAAGTATAATCCTCCCACAAAGATGTCTTTTGTGCTGAGACCAAGGAGAAATAAAGAGTACACTCAAAAAAAAAATGTATACAAGTAAGAATTGTTTCTTTTGGAAATTAGAAAATACAGATAAGCATAAAGAAGAAAATAAGAATCGCTCCACCCAGAGATAAGCGGTGTGAACATTATGGTGCATTTTCTGACACACACACACACATAAATATATGACCTTGTTAGTATTTGTTTGAAATTGATATCAAACTACTGATAACTTTTTTAAAAGTTGGTTTTCCACCTACCATTATATCATGGGCATTTTTCCACATCAGTAATATTTGCTTCATTTAATATGTCATGTTTCAGGGGTTCCTGGGTGGCTCAGTCAGTTGAGTGACCCACTCTTGATTTCAGCTCATGTCATGATCTCAGGGTTGTGAGACCGAGCCCTCTGTCAGGGCTCTGCGCTCAGTGGGGAGTCTGCTTGAGATTCTCTCTCTCTCCCTCTCTCTCTGCGCCCCCCCCAAAAATGTAGTGTTTCATTCCATTTGGGGCCATAATATATTCGATGAATTCCCTCTTGTCAGACACTACATTGTTTCTAATGTTCACTCTTGATAAGTGATGCTACAATCTTAGGATCAAATTCTAAAGTGGAATTGCTGCATCAAATGCAGCTGGGCATTTAAGAGTTTCCCAAGGAGAAAGGTCTTCAGATGAAGGAAGGCAAGTCAAAGGGTGGCCTTTTAGACATCTGCAACCAGCGTTGGGAGCGCTGCTTTGGGCAAGGGGGTAGACCTCAAACTCACACTTGAAGCCGCCAGTCCCTTTGGCTTATCCCTCCTTGGAGACATCTGGGGAAGGAGGATGCATGACCCATTTTGTAAGAGCCTTTTTTCATTCTCCCTCTGAGCACTGTCCTTCCGGAGGCCCTTGTGAGGAGGAGGGTGGGGCAGGGTACTCAGCGTTCACCCAAATCTGGAAGTGAAACTGTTTTCAAAGCAGAGCACAGAAGCTGTGGAGGACTCTCAAGGGACTAGAGTGGGTGCTCTTAGCCAAGTGTCTCTTTCCCCCTCTTGATGCCCTGTCATCCCCCATCTTCCCAATATGGCCCCCACCCCAGGCTGACTTTGAGTCCCTGAAACCTTGACAGCTTTCTAGAAGTGTTGACTATTAGGCTGAACCATACGAAACTGCTGTTTCTGTAGGTCCAAAGTGGTTGAGTATTGACAATTTCTAGGTAACTCTGGTCTGGTTGGTTCCATTATTTCGGTCCGTAAAACATTTCTTTAGCACTCATTCCGAGCCAGGCACTGTGCTAAGCAATTTATCATCATTTTTAACGGTCACAACTTTCTGAGACAGAATTGCTCCCTATTTGAAAGAGAAGAAAACTGTGGCTCAGAATTTCCCCTTTCAGAATTGCTTGGGGGCTGGCTCACCCTCCAAATTTTAAGATCTTAACAAAAACGACAGTATTTGGAGTTGTAGTTAAAGGAGCTGTTGGCTCTGGCACGTACTAATTGTGATGCCCCTTGGAGAGTGTCTTAACTTGGCAGAGCCAGTTTCCACCTCTGTGGATGTGAGGTCTCAGTGAGAAGTGTTCTTGATCTTGTTTCCGCGTTGGAAAAATCCCTTTGGTATTGAAAGACTCAGTCTTTTCATCAAGAAGATGGAGATCATAACCACTGCGCCTGTCAGCTACACGAGGGACCAGCTGTTAGGACACAGTTCCAGGCCCAGCCAGAGGAAGCGGAGCCTGGGAGGGGGAAAGAGCCCCACCTCCACCCACCACGTGGAGCGCCCGCCCCGCCCGCAGCGCGATTCCCGGGAGTGCGGGGCGGGGTCGGCACGGCACCGCTCGGCCAACGCCTCTCCAAGGCCGCGACACTTGCGAGTGGCACAACCTGGCCACCGCGGCCCGCAGCATCCCCGGCAGCCGGGAGCGGAGGGGACGGCGAGGGGCGGGGCCTCCCGCGACCTTCCTCCCCGCCCCACCCCCCGCTTTTTTTGTCCGCCTAGATACGGAAAGGCTCCCCTGCGCCTTTAAGAGGCCGACGCGGGCAGCCGATTGGCCGAGACGCGCCGGTGACGTCACACCGGGGCCGGCGCCGAGGCGGCCCTGTCGGCCCGCGCCCTACCCCTCCCGCCCCGCGGCGCGCTCGCGGACAGTCCGCGCGCGGGCCGGGCCGGCGCCCCGTCAGCCTCGCTCGCCCGCGTCGCCCGGAGCCCCGGGGGATGCTCCCGGCCGGCACCCCCTATGGCCGCCGACGTCTTCATGTGCTCCCCGCGCCGGCCCCGCAGTCGGGGCCGCCCGGTGCTGCTCAAGCCTCAGGTGCCTGAGGACGACGACGACTCGGACACCGATGAACCGTCCCCGCCGCCCGCCTGCGCTTCGGCCACCCCGGGCCGGGCCCACGCGAGCGCCGCGCCGCCGCCGCCCAGGGCCGGGCCGGGCCGCGAGGAGCCTCCGCGCCGTCAGCAGATCATCCACAGCGGCCACTTCATGGTGTCGTCGCCACACCGCGAGCACCCGCCCAAGAAGGGCTACGATTTCGACACGGTCAACAAGCAGACGTGCCAGACCTACAGCTTCGGCAAGACCAGCTCCTGTCACCTGTCCATCGACGCCTCGCTCACCAAACTCTTCGAGTGCATGACCCTGGCCTACAGGTAGGGACCCGGCGACGCCGGGCCGGCCCCACCTCTCCAGAGGAGCTTCCTACTTTGCCAAAACCAGCGCGGAGGGCTCGACCGCCTGAGGACCCCTGGGCTGCACGCATTCCCATTGGTTCTTGCCCCTTTGGGAGGGTTTATGGGTCTGTGATCCTCAGTGGAAGCCAGAGGGGTCGGTGTCCTGGCCTCTTCCCCTGCTGGCAGTGCTTGGGTTCTTCCGGCTTCACGTCCTCCATCCAGGCCCTCCCCTCCAATGTCCCGAGGCCACCGACTTTGGACGCGAAAGAGGTGTAAATACAGGCTGCCCCTTGTGTTACTCGACTCTCCACCCCTGCCCCCAAACGCTTTGTGTGTTTCCAGCAATATCGAGTAATGGGTAAGAGCACCTGTCCAGGGGTGCTTCAGTGCTGGTTCCAGTATTTAATCGTTGCGTCAAATCTCGGAGCCTGTTTTCTCCTTTACGAAGAGGGGATGACGGTAGTATCAGCCTCCATTGGCTATTTTGGGGATGGATCGAGAGAGGTAGTGCTTATTCCAGTGCCTGACACATAGTTAGATGCTCTGCAAATGTTAGCTACTTTTCTTATTGCCCCAGCAGAGAGAGGCTGGGTCTCCGCACATCTACTTTATTGGGAGACCCTCTCCCACCTTAGTGGCCACCCTGGGTGCCTCCTAGGTAGACTTTCAGACCCACAGCTGTTGGAGGTGCAGTCTGCCCCCCTGACAAGTTGGAAGGTTCTCTGGTCAGCCCTGAAACATTATATGGAGATGGCATTGTTGAGGGCAGGCATCCCAGACACCATTCTGACACGTGGATCCAGCTCTGGGAGAAATCCCTTTTTTTTTCTAAGTCACAGATCTGCCTGGCCCTCACGAGTTAAAGTGTGTTTCCACCCTCTCCTCCTTCTGAGTGCATGTTAGGTATTTGTGCCAGGTGACTTCTGCCTCAGCAACAGAACTTCTTTGGGCTAGCTGCAGTGCAGAGCAGTCCAGTCCTGTAGGAAGCTCACGATAGGATCTCTGCTGAGTGAGGGTTATTGCATTTGTAACTGCACTGGCCCAGGCTGTCTTAGGTCTGCTGTGCAGGCGGCACAGGGAAAGTTTCCTAGGAGACTCCAGAAACAGCGTAAAGAAAAGTAGGTACGTTCCCCCCCCCCCCCCGCCCCCCGCCGCCTTTTTTGGAGAGCCTTTAAACCCAGATCCAAGTTAAAACATTACACATTTACCTGAAGTTAAAACATGGCTCAGGGTGGCATTTTCCCTCTCTGGAATAAATGATTAGTCAATTTGTTCCTTTGTTATGTTCCTGAAACGAGCCCTCCCACCCCCACCCCATTTCCTCTCTTGAAGGTTTCCCTGGTGGTTTGTTTGCCACATGGCTGCAGTGCATTACCCAGAGCTCTCTTCCCATCCCCCTTGCGTGGCACATTGGTTAGGCTCTGCTCTGATTCTCTGGTCTTGCCAGTTTGAGCTGGCACTGAGCCTGTGAAGATGTTCTCTCTCTTTTTTAAATGGTATTGAGATTGCAGCCTTTTGCCCTCTTTTAGCCCTGCTTAGTCTCGAATTTTGAGCACTTCATTGGAATCAAACCCACCTAGATTGTAACATATGCCACAAAGCCTTTTCCAACAAAACTATAGGTGAAAGACAGGAATGTGTTTTCTGAAGAGGACTTAATCCTTTTCTTTCTTTTAATGTAAACTTCTTCGTGTGCTGAGAGAGAAGGGATGATTAAGTAGCAGGAGGCATGAGTAGAAAGCTCTTACCTAAGCTCTGCTAAAGGAGAAATAAACCAGTCTTCCCTTTGCCCTTTTAGGTTTGGATAACCTAAAGGCTTATTATTAAAGAACACCAAAGAATTTTAGTAATGGCATTTTTTCCCCCACTTCTTTCAAAAATATCTTGGCAACTGGCCATTGCTCAATTAAGTTTCTTGATTGCAACATGCACCCTTACCTTGCTCTTCAAGACCTCCAGCCGCACTGGCTCTTTTGCTTTGCTGTAGTTCCCTGTGCACAAGTCCTGCCACTCTGCAGGTCCCCAGTGGGTATCTGCCTAGTAATTTCTCATGAAGACACTCTTTGTCTTTCCGTGTGAGGCTGATTTGACTGTCCCCAAATTTAGTTGGCAGTGTGGAACTGTGGTACAGATTGACAGAGGAATGACTCAAAACCAGTTGTCTGGGCTCTCGCCTCTGGCACGGAAAGCAGCAGGAGAACAGGAGTTTCTGACCTCAGCTGTCCTATCATGACCACTAGCTGGCTGTCCGAGAAGGAGGGTTGAGATGGGGGCAGGGAAGAAGCGGACTTGATCTCAGTGGTGGTCTGACTTCCCTTTCCATGGGATTCGAGCCTTCACCACTGTTTTCCAGGTTTTCTCCTTCTCCCTGGGCCTAGAGGAAGGCCAGCGGGGCCTTCTCTTCTGCCTGTTTCTGGCCTAGGCTCTTTCTAACCTCAGCTTCCTGTCTGTCTCCTGGTCTCTTGGTTCTAGCTGCCTAACTCTTCCTGGTACACTCTGTGCCTTTTTTTTTTTTTTTTTTTTTGGCTTGGTTTCCTGTTAAACTGCTGTCTCCCAGCTGTTTCCAGATGATGTTCAACAGCTCTTTGGGGGAGGAACTAAATGCAAGGGAAGTTGTGGTAATTTTTTCCCCAGTCCCGTGAAGTGGTCCAGGGATTCTGAGTATGATCTTCCTGAACATGCAAAGTCTTAAACTCCTAAAGGGTCTTTGGCAGGACTGACTTGGGTTGGGGAATAGGGTGTTTGAGAAAATGGGCACTGCATGTGAGTGCGCCCAGTGGCCCGCCTGGGTAAGTAACAGCTCCATATCTGGCCTTAGAATCCGTGTCCTTCCCACTCTGTGATGCTAAATAGCCCCATAGCGAAACATCTTGATTTGGTCCTACAATGTGTGCTCAATTACTGGGATGTTCTGGAGGGGAAGAAGTTGCTTTTCTCCAAGGCAAAGTTTAGGTGATAGATGGTGGGGAAAAAGCCCATGGTTTACCTTTTCGAAGCCTTCCTGTCTGCCACTGTAAAATGGGGAGAATAAAACTGCCCCGCAGGGTTGGATGTGAGGATTAACTGATATGATGTCTGTAAATGTGTCTAGTACCTGGCAGGCAAGAAGGGGCCTTCGCAGGCTGAATCCAATTCTCTGTCTTCACCCAGCTGACATTTAGGAGGACCAAGATTCCTCATCTGTAAGCTGAAGGAAATAACGTGTCTGACTGGGGTCTTTTAGTGTGGCTTTCAAATGCCTGCTTGACAAATACTAAATAGATGCATTCTTGCTTTGCCCATGCTTTCCAAGCTCCACAATGGAGCTATGTACTCTAGAACATAGTTCATGGTTCTTGCCCTCTTAACATTTTAAGGAATGTCACACATGTAACTCACCCACACAGATTCTGATCACATCTAGTAGATAGTTTTTTTGTGGTTGGTTTTGGTTTCACTTCTCTACCTTTTTATGTAACTCTTTATTAGGAGGCCTAGGTGTGAATGTTTCTGGAGGGCAAGAGATGGTCTTTTTATGTATTTAGGGATAAGCAGTAGCTTTCTGGACAATGGGTTTCTGCTTAAGTGGATATCTGAGGAGACCTTTTAATTCGGACCTGTAAGATAGCTTTGGGATACGAATTTCCAAAATCTACCCCTGTATACTTATGCTTTGTATAGTAACCCTGTGCTCCTGACCCAAGGTGGGAATCTCTGCCAGACTTAAGGAATTGCCAGGATTAAAGGTTTGGAGCACAATATCCTCCAAATTTTATTTTTTTTTTTAAGATTTTATTTATTTATTTGAGAGAGAGAGAGAGAGAATGAGAGATAGAAAGCACGAGAGGGAAGAGGGTCAGAGGGAGAAGCAGACTCCCTGCCGAGCAGGAAGCCCGATGCGGGACTCGATCCCGGGACTCCAGGATCATGACCTGAGCCGAAGGCAGTCGCTTAACCAACTGAGCCACCCAGGCGCCCAATATCCTCCAAATTTTAGGTTATCAGTAGAGGTACTTTCTAATGCTAGGCATGGTAACTAGTTGTAAATGGGAACCGTGCACACAAATGACGAAATTTACTCTTCTGCAAACATGCCAAAGATAAGCAAGTTTTCTTTTACACTTTTTTTAGTATTTGATCATTATATAGTATGCACTGAGGGGCGGGAATGAGGTGGGAATGAGGGCTACAGAGATGAGAAAGACAGTCTCTGTCCTTGAGGAGCTCACAAACTAGGGGGTGGGGGACAGATAGACAGTGGTAGAATAATTAGCAAGGGCTATGATAAAAATGTGAGCCAGCTCTGCCGGCAGTACTGAGATTGAGAGAGAGAGAGTGTGTGTGTGTGTTTACGTAATTGCTATCAGTGTGGATGGTTTCCCCTGACATCAGGGTTTAATACTTACCTCCCCTTCCCCATGTTAACTGTCCAGAGTTATGGACCATATTGCCCAGCAGGAAGCCCCAGTGTTCCTTTGCTCTATCTTCTTCCCTTTAGTAGACTGGGAGCAGATTTCCTTTTCACGTAGAGGCTGATTGGCTAATTGCCATACTGATGGAAGGGCGAAGAAAAGCGATAATATTGGGAAGAGCCTGGGAAAAGAGGTTAGAGGAGAAGGTGGAGAGAGTTTATTTGCAAGGGTGGAAGAAGGGATGAGGATTCACACTAACTGAGCACCCCTGTGTGCTGGATTCTCTTTACGTGATTTTTTTTTTTTAGATTTTATTTATTTATTAGAGAGAGAGTGAGCACAAGAGGTGGGGAGGGGCAGAGGGAGAAGCAGACTCCCCTCTGAGCAGTGAGCCTGAGGACAACGACATGGGACTCTATCCCATGGTCCTGGGATCATGACCTGAGCCGAAGGCAGACACTTAATCGACTGAGCCACCCAGGCGCCCCTCTCTTTACGTGATCTTAAGCAACTCTCACAATAGCCTTCTCAGGTGGGTGGTGGTGGAATTGTCATTTTTCATGTTAACCCCCCCCCCCCCAAGTTTAG